AGTACAGGGCAAGCGATATAAAACAAAATCTAGTTTATTTTCAGACGAAAAAAGTTGGGAGTATTAACTTTATCATTAGAAATGTTAGTTTTCGGATTATCCCTAATGTTAACAACTTGATCATTAATATAAAACCCGAGGGAAGCTTTTGATATGAGGCAGAGCCAATAATCATTGAGTTTTGTTATTTTTAGATCATTTAAACCCTGAATCCATTGTGTTCAACCCTCACGATCTAGTCTAGATGTCGCAGTGTGCTGGATAGAAACAAGTTAATGACCGCCTTCTATATCCAAGGTAGCGAGACAATGCTGCGACACCTTGTCATTAAGCGCGACCTACTAGGTTTCTTTTGTTAATATTTGTTTACATTAAACACTCGGACGCGTGTTATGATCTACGGCTCAACTTGGGTATATAATCAACTTGCACATAGTGTAGAAAACGTTAGTAACGGTGTGAAAGACAACCGATGTACGTAACTGTATATATTTTAGTTATTCACTAATCGTAATAACAAGCTTTCATATTCAGAATCGAACCAATTCCCATAGTTCAGCTTCGATGGTTGTCTCATTGTAGTATAGCGAAATGGGTTTATGGGTTAAAAACAGTTTATGCGGTGAATAGAACGCAATATTTAGACAAGGTTATCAGCATCTGAAAATGCATTGCTTGAACCCCGTTAGAGGATGTCATGCTACGATGTCAAACCTAGGTCACGGTAACATTGTGAGTGAATTATTCATTGCTATAAATGTATGTTGAGGTGACCTTTTCAAAGAATGTATTCGTATCTGTACAGATTCTGAGATAAGTACAAATGCAAAGAAGTTGCGCAAAACCAATTCGATTGAATATAAAGTTCTTTTCCACATTCAGGAATAACTATAAGCGAAAACAAATCCTACGGAAGTACACTGAAATGATGCAATGCAGTGCAAATCGAAATGTATGTTTTAAGAATTAGAAGTGCTACGAAATTTACATTTGCATCTTATTTTCTCGCCAAGATTAGATTTAGAAAATTGGGATTAGTTAGAATGCTTGGTAGGTTATGACTAACGGATAACGGGATAATTTGATAATAGTATCTACTGTTGTTAGCAAAAGATATCCTTTCGCTTTTGAGAAACAAAAATTATCTTCGAATCTTTTTATGATTAGTCACTGTTTATTATATTTTATATAATTGATTTGAAGCGACTAGGCCTTTAATATACAGTGGCCTAAATTCAAAGTTTGCAGTTGGAGCAAACAAAAATCAATATCAAATATAAAAATTTGTCATCTAATTTATCAATTTGTATTTTTGATTCTATGACTACTAAATTGTCATTGGAATTTTATTGTTTCCCACATGTATTTGTTCTGCTCTCTGATGTCATCTCATTATGTTTAGTCTATGTATGGATTATCCATGCTTTCAGCGCGGTATCGACGCAGGAGTTCAATTATCTACCACAGAAATGCCTTCACGTTGCTTCGGACTTGAGATAATCTTGTTTTGGGAATAATAAAATAGTAGATAAATCTAAAAGGCCAGCTTAGATAATGCCATTCAATCCATTTTAATTGCATTTTATTTGTAAAAATCTAGGAGTTGGTTATCTTCTTGTATGCTTGCTTGTCATTCCGCTGTCAAAATGTATAAGCAGTCGATATGTATATTCTGATGTCTTCATAAGCCAGCTGACAGTTTGGTTATCATAAAACCAGGATTAAAGTAATGTAGGTGAAGTAATTTTAGACGTTAGAATGCATAGGTGTGTATTTTCTGTAAACATTATAGAAGGTAATAAGAAATATCATGTTCGCTAATTGATGATCTTGTTTGTGAAAGAAAAATCAATTTAGATGTTCAAGTCTGAAATGTGTTACTGCAATGCTTACCCCAGTCAGAAAATATTCATTTGTCCACACGCGAACTAGTTCAGTCTCATGGTTAAGCAGCAACGCATGGTTGGCACATGAATATTTTAAATTAAGACTAACTCACCATTAGCTTTTTTCTAGCTAGGAAATATACGGGCAAGCAACGTGCAACGATATAATCATTTTTATTTGAAGTGTTAGCAAACGATAAGTAGACTTATTCAATATGCAAACAATGTCAAGGTATAATATTTACAGTGCGTGCCTCCAAGATAATGTGAATTATGTGATGAGTCATAATGTACCAAGCGTCTGCGCAGGTAGTTAAACGCTTCTTAAGTTTGTCCCAGAAAAGTTTGATTCTAATGTGAATAAACTACTAGTAGATACATTAATAAAATTTTGGAACATTTGAAAGGTTTTGTACTGAATCGTCAACGATGGTGTCGTTATAAATGACATAATAACTATCTTATCAAGTGGAAGGAATCCCGTGTATTTGCTCGTAAATCTATTTCTAAATTGAAACTCTAATGGAATATCAGTACTATCCAAATATATATAACGAACTTGAGTGATGGGACAGAGGTTATTTGTTTTGTTATAATAGAAATTTGTTTTGAAAATAAATATCATAAAATTTAATGTCTTTTGACCTCGCTTGACCCTGTTTATTGACGCGTTTGTACATGATTGATTATTTTCTGTTATAATATAATAATATACTTTCCTATGCGCATCGTGATTGTCATTATTCGTATCCAAGCACATAACCGATTGTTTTCCACCCAAGCGACCAATCCGATCCAACTCTTTGATAAATTCGTAGAATTATCTCAGATTGTTTAACAACTTGAAAGACATAAGTTAACGCAAAATGAACCAAAATCAACATTTTGTCAATATGCTCATGTAAAAATAATATTCGCTGTGGGTGATTAATGTATTCTGGTAATATGGGTTAATGTAGCGAAACATAAAAGCAATACGATTCTTTTGCCACACTCGTACAGATCCTTTTCCCTATACGACGTTTATTCACGTATTTCGCTCAAAACAAGGTACAACCAGACACTGATATCTAAAATCACTTATTCGATTTATGTATATTAATCATTGTGTTTAATGTTAAAATGTGCTCTATGCTAATTTAAAAACAGAACTGTCAAGAAACGTATTCAAAGAATGAGATCACATATAGAGTTCTATACAGTACAAACTAACGTGAACCATAATTATGAGACTTGTCGGGACTTGATTCTTTTTGATCAAAGATAAATATTTCCTTCCGTTTAATTATGTAGCTGGCCTATACTTTCATCTTCATAAATGGAATTTAAATGAATATATTCATATTCATCAACTGAAACCTTTCAACTTTTGATGTACTGAACTATTAAATATATCCTCTTACCCTTCTAATGCCTCTGTCTATATATGTACCAATAGAGCGCACGAGTTTGCTTGAATCCCACCGATTGCTATAGGAATAACATCTGCAATAATGAATTTAGCGTTGCAGAATAGGGCCCATGGGCCTAGGGGGATATTTCATTTCTGCGTTACATGTTTGGAAGCCGAAGAAAATTTAAAAATTTAGCTTTGGGTTTTTACAACAATAATGGTACCAGAAATAGAAAATGATTTCTTATTGAACTGATGAATATTAGTGCACGTTTGTGCCTCCGAAATATTTCATACCAAATTCATTAACCGATATTTAACCCACAACATATTATATCGCTCTTATTTACAGTTCAATTTTGTATTGCTAACCTCTTTTAGTGATCGAAATGGTAAATACTCGAGTTCACATATTTCTTATAGTCAATATTGCAGGCAGTATAATATTTGCTGTTTTTCACTTTCGCGTGGGATACTTATGCAGTAGGTCAAGGACGTAAAACTTTTGATAGTTGTTGCTTCTTCGTCTATTTATTTTACGTAATGATTGCCAGATAAGGTTGTTTTCGTGAGTAATCACTAACCACAATTGAGATTCACTGAATATTTAATCACTTGAAATTTCAAAAAGCAGGACATTCGCAATTCGTGGTGATCGAAACCGTTTCTATTAGTTCATGCATACTTTGAATTCGTGTCGACGTGTACTTTTAAAAGCGGACCATAAGTAAAAATCTAGTTCCTACTTTGGTGGTTTCCTCTATTGAAATCTGTGACTTTTGACATTTTTAAATATGTTGTCCGATTTTGTCAAAAGTCTTTTGATGCATACATACCTACTCATGATTGACAGATTTAGGAATTTCTGCATAACAATTCGTGTTTTTTTACGACAGTCACGTTTTATTGATTGCATCCGGCATTATCAACAAAAAATAAAGCTATCGCAAATTTGCAGAAGGAAATAATCCTGACAAGACTGCAAGAAAATGATAAGTCCAGCATATTGTTATCTGACAATATGCCGGTCAAATGGGACAAGTGTTTACACGCGCCATATTATATTTGATAGCAGAGATTATCTCTGTCGTTATCAGTTTATTTTCTTCGGTGTAAATTATGATTTATGACACATATCCGTTACTATGTTGATTTGTAGCTTATGTTAATTATATTAATATTAATATTAGAATCATTTCTCAAAGGACAAATGTGTCTCCTATGACAAGTTGTAAATTCCACGGTGTATGCATGTCCTAGTGCAAAGCAGAGAAATTTAACGTTCTTCTTATAGACTGACACGGGCAAAGATTAATATGAGGTAGCAATATCGTGAGTGAAATTGAAAATTCAATGAAAAAGGTAAAAACAAGGACAGTCAGAAGTATATAAAGTGACATGTTACTCATGGATAACGGCACTTTAACAATGGCACAAGTATTGCATTACACAAGACCTTATCAAATTTAGGAAAGGGTATGATAAGAAGTTATACGTAACAACTGATGTTTAGTCTGTTGTGACGCAGATTGTCTTGACTCCAGTTAATTCGTTTCAGGATACTTCACATAAAAATTATAATTACTTTCGCTCTGGGGTTAACCATACCTTGTACGTGGACTCCTATCAGATTGATTTATGCCCAACAACGAATGTCCGATGTATCCAAGAAATAATTTCAGATTGACAACCAATTTTTAATTCAGGAATATTAATAACGTCTATTTTATGATATGTTTACAGATGTTTATTGTGGTTCACTTTGAGTAATTTAACTTTCACTGTAGATTTTCGGATGGATTCATACGCATTTTTTTGAATAATTCGATCGAATTGGAAAAAAATATTGAGTGTCTAAAGATATGAAAGTAAACAAAATTTCGTATGAAATGTCGACCACATTAACGCTACTTGTGATTTTCATATGGACCACCTGTGAGTCTTATCGAGTAGAGGGAATCAATCCAACATGCGAGAAAGTCTCGACACCTATGTGCCTTCCTGTTACTGACGACATTATAGCTGCAATACCATCGCCACAAGGAAGAAGAAATCGCAGATCAGTTCTAACGGAACGTGTGTCTAAACAAATTAATTGGAGATATAATTCAACTACCTTTCCAACGTTTGCAAATGACGTCACTCCTGATGACGTCATCGATTCTTTACGAAAGCTGCATCCAATGGTAGCAACGGAATGTTCCAAATTTGTCAGACTGTTTTTGTGTTCAGTGTATTCTCCCGTTTGTACAGAATTTGGTGTTGTGCCTCCATGCAAGGAACTGTGCGAGAAAGTAATGTCGGATTGTTCGAGAACAATAAAAGAATTTGGAATTCAGTGGCCTGATAGTGTGCAATGTGATATATTCCCTGCGTACGGGACAACTGGTGACGTAATTAATGACTCTTTATTAGTCGGAGCGGTGACGTCACAGAATGACGAAAACACGATGCTAATTCAACGTTCTGCGTCGCTAGCTTGGATGGAAGCATTGGTGGCAGACGGAAAGGTACTCACTTATATATTGATAATTAATTTGCCCATATTATTAGAAATATTTGCTATGAAATATCAAAGCCAATACTTTTTTCAAACACTAATATTTATCACACATTCAGACCGTAGATTGAATTTTGCAGCAACCAAATTCGAAGTTGTGAACAGTAACCTTGAATTTTATTAATTAAATATTAAATCATAGCTTTTTAAGATTTTATTGATTCTCACAGCGCTAGTACTCTATCTATCATGAAACACCTGTGTGGAGGCTCGAGAAATCTTCCGAAATATTTGTAATAACATTGATTTACGTATTTTAGTAATAATTTTTACATGCACGACACATCTCCGCAACTTCGCGTTGCGACAGGCCTTTGCCACCTTTTATGACCCTTATAACGCAAATGCCAAAGCACACGATCATCCATATATACACACTACTCATGTATAGGATGTATCTGTTCTATTGCGTTTTGAAAGTCATTATAGGATGGCATTCTATTGTTTAATTCGCGGTAAATTTTCGCTTATCTCTATATGAGATAGGAAATATTTAAGTGATATTTTCGAACGGAGCACTTGAGTTATAAAGGTTGCCTTGCCATTAAAACAATTAGCTAATTGTATCGCGCGCAGAAAATTCGAACTAGGACTGCCAACGCGCACGTATTAAATTTGTGACTGAGATTTCAGATGTGTTTGAAATGCCCCATGTCGAGTGTATCTCTCCTAGACCTGGGAATGCCGTTATAGTTTAGCCGTCGCGCAAACGAGTCACAAAGATGGGCATTGAAACCAAGTATGGATCACATTGCATCTTGGATTATACTGGTTTATGCCTGATCAAATATAACACATGCCAGACAATTCGGGGTGGTCTAATTTAGAATGAATATTTTCAAATATGAATGTCGGCTAAATATTTTACTGTCGGGGTCATAAAACTGTTGATTTTTGTATATTAAAATAGTGAATGTAAATAATAAGCAAATATTTTGTACGACGCAAGTAATGCTATATATAGATGTTTTATAATTTTTTAGTTCTAGCCAATAACATATTTTATTACATATTTTACCCAAAAAGAAAGCATAGCTGCCGTATTCATTACACCATGAATGGTTGTTGCCAAGATGTCTAATATGCCAAAGAACATAGTTTATCCTTCGTTCTGACAAGTTGAATTGAATTTCGTCAGAAATATTTTGGCCTATTTTTTTTTATCTATGAATTATGTTACAGCGCCTACATATAGAAAACCTTGATTTTATTAGTTAACCTGTCTACAATACTATTTTCCATTCACATTTCTCAATGCCTACCTGGTCTTCAATATAAATTATCATAAATTTGCACTCCAGCGTGACATGGAGTTGTAAAGAAAGTAATTTATTATATTTTAAACTTGTCACGTATGTTATTTAAGATTGATTGTGGAAATATGAAGTCAATACGCAATACTTTACAAAACATATTTAATGATCCAACTTATCGACACTGTTTATTTTTACAAGCACATAGCTATTTATTCTACGCTACAAGTTATGAAAACAGATATTATTCCGTGATGAATACGACTGCACATCTGCTATTCAATTGGCCAAGTTTTGACAGCGAAGGAATTTCATGCAACCTGTACCTTGCTTGGCTTATTGTAAAAAAATATTCATATAGTATGCCACACAGTTCGCAAAATTTTGAGAAAGACGCATTTTATATAACGTAAAGTTCATTTTCACAGACACCGAACAATTTCGTTTATATTATTTACATAAGGGTATATTTAGCATACATGGGATTTAACATAATTGGATCAATTATAGCAGAATAGGGTTTTGGTGTCAATTTCACTGACAAGAGTTTGTCGTTGAATGACAGCATGTAATCTAACGTAAATAAATGGCTCAGGTGGCCACCACACTCTCTTTAATGCTCAAATAAAGGGTAGAAGGGCTTGTTTAGAACTTGATTAGTACTGAAGTTTCTTACCCCTTTTTTCAGCAATATAAATTGCACTTCAGCACATAATATGCTTTGTACCTATAATTTTTCTTCAATTTAGATTTGTATACCACCGATTGAAGAAGACGTGATTACACCCCAGTTAGAACTCCTAAAGCAAAACATTGATAAGCGACCCAATCATAAACTCAACTACACGATAACAAAAGACAATCACCAATTCGGCCTACGCTGTCCAGCTGAAATGAGAGCACCTGATGGTCAACCCGGGTAAGAATTTTTCTCAAATTTTCCTTTTTCCGATTAGTCTTTGAAACAGTAAGTAAGAATAGTAAAATTACGTCATACTTCAAGACCCATGATCTTGTGACAATAAATATACACGATCGGCTTATAAGAAGGAGGTATTTGTTTTTCCAAGGACACGTAAATGCGACGACCTTCATATTTAAGATTTGACCTTTTGCAGTTGAATATTCCAGCAAGTTGCCTTCGTGCACGCGAGTTGCGTTAAACAACCAAATCAAAACATCCTATTTTGTTACCTCACTCGCTAATAAATGGTTCCAGTCCACGGAAATGGTAATATAAAACTTTCAACTTTTGTGAGGTTCAAGATATCAAATTGAAAATTTCCAATAATGATATACAATAAAAACGCGTATTATTGTAGCATGTTCAGTGAGAGTGAGTCTTTGTACATACAAACGGCAACTCTGACACAAAATATTACGTTTTACCGCCATTCGAAGTAGCTCCAATGAACTCATGTAAAGAAGAAATAAATCATGTATAAATATTATAGATTTGATTTCGATAATATTTTAAAGTGCTTTTTACAAATAATAATAAAAATGAAATACAATTATTGATGTTGTAGCTTAAAAGAAAATCAATCATGTGATATTTTGAAGAAATTTTATAAAGAATATTAGAAATAAAGTAGTTCTATTTAAGAAGTGACAAATGTTACTTTTCCATCGATACAAATCTTACAACAAAAACATTATCTGTGAATTTGGACCAACGGATTGCGAATAACCACGATACGATCTACCAAAATTCATCTCCAAATCCCCGGATATGACAAATCTTTTATATGGGGTTATCAGAACTTATCGGAGGCGTACCCTAATCGCGGTCGCATGTTCAACTAAATGGGGGTCACGGGAAGGATAAGGTTACCCCGGACACACGCTACTTTACAACTGTCGACTTTTCTAAGTAAATATGATTTTCTTTTGTGCAAAAGCTCATTGTGATATGAGATGCCTCGTTGGCATTAAAAATAATTTTATGCCCAACTTAGTATAAAAAGAATAAGCTGTACTGAATCAATGAGCCAGGAAAAGTAATATCAAAGGTATTATTGTAGAATGGATTAAATATAACTAGCACAATGTGAATAACTTTCCCCAATCGCTTGACTTAAATGTTGCATGAAGGAACTAAAATGAGTAAATATGCATCATTTTTCATCAACTCTTTATACGACAATAAAGTTATTATAGTCAAATATCAACGATTTTGACATTTTAAGAGCCAGTGAACCAAAGCTTTGAAAAGAATTACCAACAACTACCATGCGGGTACAAAACTTTGATGAAATATCATGTTCAGACCTGATCAAGCATATAATCGAAAATGAATAATTAACACAACTTCGCCACATCAAAAATTTGTTTTTTACATCAAAAGGCATGATATATATAGCATGGTCTTAACCTATTTGTATTTGCCATGTTCACAGGTATTCTTTTCTTGGAATGCAAAATTGTTCTCCGCCATGTCCAAACATGTATTTGAGTGATGGAGAATTATCAGGAGTTCGTCATTTGATAATATTTATGTCAACACTCTGCATTATTGTGACATTTTTCACTCTTTGTACATTTTTGATAGACACAAAAAGGTACGATTTTCATTCTTAGAATTATTGCTGTTTTCTAGCTGTATTCGTAATAATTATATCTTTTCGCTCAGGTTTCGCTACCCGGAAAGGCCAATTGTATTCTATGCTTTCTCCTATTTCATCGTCTCTCTTGTTTTCATGACTGGATACCTTTTGAAAGAGAATGCAGCTTGTAATGGAGAGGTATGATATAATATCGTCATTAACTTGAGAAAATTATTGCTAATTTGCTTAGTTTAGTTTCGCTTAGTTTTATGTGTTTGATCAGAAGCCCAAAATGTATCCAGAGATTGATGCATTTATTGTGGTATCAAAGAATATGTTTCATTAACAAAAGTCACCTTGCTTTGCCTTGGATTTAGATACGAGATAAACATACCAACGATATCGTGCAAGGATTTACAGTTGTCAAAGGAGATCATAGGCAGTCTTGTACTATAATCTTCATGATCCTGTACTATTTCACTGGTAAGTCATCATATGTGAAGACATAACGATAATGTATTCATTAACTAACATTTGTGATTTGTCTGGTTGGGTTGGAAGGTCAATATTAGAGAGATCGTAATGATTTGGACGTATACATATTACATTGTCCAATATTGACGACAGGGTACTCCTGAAGTATGCGCACCAAGATGTCGCATAACCTGAACCCTAACCTGGTACACAACTTGAGTTCAGGTTGTGCGCCATCTTGGTGCGCATACTTCAGGAGGTCCGACGACAGTCTATAATTAGAATAGATTATAGATTGTTGTATTCATTAATATATTGCTCATACTATTGCTGTGTTCATACTATGTGCTGAATCGTGATTTATATTGCTTTGCTTTGGGGCTGAGAAACATAAAAATACTGATCAAGTCTAAACAAGCTCTTCTACCCTTTATTTAAGCGCCAAACTTGTCCGTTATATCATTTAATGATGTAAAAACACTAATAATCGCCCATAAAATTTATGAGCAACGTGATTTTTTCTCGGTGATGTCAGTTAATCGTGGAAAGTAAAACATGACTAACTCTCCTTCTCCAACGCTTAGTCTATAAGTAACTATTACAAACACTTGTCTTTACATAGCAATGAATTTTGGAAACGCAGTCCATACACGTCGTGTGTATCAAATTAGGGGTTGAATTTGTCAACTCGCATAAAAAAATCTGATTTTTGTCTTGATTTACTACCTGTAGGATGCGTCATTATATCTCATTAAAATTTAATAATTTTGACAAGAGCATATAGACATTATGTCGCACCAGTTGTTTGAATTTTCTCTCGTTTAATTTTGATTTAATAGATGTTTCAACATATGCAGGGTGGGGCTTTTTATCTATAACCCACATCACGACATTTAGGAAACGCGCGAATGGAAGAACAAATATAATCAGATTATGGGGGATACGTCTCCAAAGGTAAAAGCATCAAAATCAAAAGCTAGGAATAGGTGGGGGCTGTCTGCTCGAATCTAAATTAGCGCTTTTCTGTGCTCAAATGAATGTATTTATTTATATAACTATCATATATACACAAGACCGATAGCTGCATAAGCGATGGTCTTCTGAATGGAATCACACATTGTTCTGGATAGATACGTAATCTATTATATAGTACAGCACGATCGTGCGGGAAGGATTTGGTTATGTATCTACTTGCTTAATTACCAATTTACGGGAAAAGGGATTAATTTTATGGCATGAATAAACTATGTAATGTGTACTATGTTATCAAAAACGAATGATATTTGTAAATTCTGTTAATTTTTAACCATTTGTATCTGAACTTTTTCCACACAAATGACTGAAGTCGACAACCGTTGTCATTTTGAAATATGTTCATATAAGTATAAGTACTATTTGACTATAGATATATGAAACGGAAACAATTATTTTTCATCTTATATTTCGATAATGAATATCATAAAGTATGTATCTGTGAAGCATTGTAATTAATTACTATTAAAATGCCAGGTTGGTCAAATTGGTCATTCGTTTGAATCAACTTGATATAACAAAATTTTAGCTCATGAAACTAATGCAATTGTAAGCCTTATTTGCTTCAAATATTGACGATTTATGATGTATGGAATATCGGGTTTTATTGAACTTGTGGACAAGATTTGTAACCACCATTCATACCAACCTCATAAATTTGCCATTCTTAACTCATCTTGGCTGTGAGTCAATAAATTCGTAAGTTATGTGTAGTTCCTGTATGCATGAGTAACTGTTTTGTCACTGTGTTTCTGGTTCGAATAACATTTATTGAAGCGCCAGATGTTGAAAACAATTTCTATCTTTGCAGAAAACAAAACTTCTTTGTTTTAAAACACATAAGTTTTTATTGCTGCTTAACGTCCAGACAAAACAACTTTTATAATAACTAGATGAGCCGTAAATCAAAACTTTTATTGGAGTACCGCAATTTTCCCACAACAAAATCCAATTTTATCAAGGGTTAAAAACCATAATCTTTTCGCGAAATTTTTAATACGAATAAAGTAGGAAGGTATTCTACTTAATTCCATACCATAAGTAGGATAAAGAACCAAGTTGAGGAGGGATTTTACTTGAAAACGATTTATCGCGCAGCGAAGTTTTTTTAGAAATATGTATTGAGTGGTCGTTTTTTTAAGGCCCAACCTCGGCAAACAGTATGCTGTGATTACTGGAACATTCTCTTTAATGCTATTTGAAAACGAAGATATGGCATGAAGTGGCTTCGGCAACAGAATGATTTTTGGGGGATTAAAAGGACGCAGCTGTTAGGCATGGAACGTTAAAAGCACTAATCCTATGATATAAATAAAAAGGAATTTAATTTCGAAGATGATTTCACTTATCCACGGAACCCAACCATTTCTGTAGAATGTTTTTGAGAAACTTACAGAAACAGCCAGTACAAATCGTTTTTCTTGTCATAATGTCATTATCAACCACTGTCAACACGTTTTAATACAGCTCCAAATTAGAATAGGCTTTTAATAAATACTGATGCTTGAGGTAAGCAGCCTTGCGTGACGTTCAATTGAAATATTACTTAGAAATCAATATTAATGACTCAACAAATTATTGAACGACAGATAAAGATAAGTGTTTGCTTCAACAAATAAAGTGAAAATTATTCACTGACAAACATGCGAAGGTCAGATATTTTGATAAAACAATAACCAAATCTAATACAATAAAATTGTACTCGAATTACATTCATTTTTAATACACCGATTGGAAATTACGGGTTTTCAAATAGTTAGTTGATCTCGCCATAACACTCTAGTAATTCAAGAGAGTGTAGCAAAGTGAGGTGGTTACACAGAACCGTGAAGTTTCATTCGTGTGACCAGCGAACATTTGTCACCGGTTTCTAGTCATATCTTGGATTAAACCTAATTAAGCTGTTTTAAATTTTAAAATTGACAATAATTCTTTTTCAGTGAATGGTACAATCTGGTGGTTGATTCTCACCATTACCTGGTTACTGGCAGCGGGATTCAAGTGGGGAACTGAAGCCATTGAAAAGTATTCGATATATTATCATGCAATTGCATGGGGAATTCCAGCTATTCAGACTATGGTTGTGGTAACTTTCAGCAAAATAGAGGGAGACAACATTCAGGTTTTTAACATCGAAAAAATTTGTGTCATTTTCAGAAACCTCTTTTCTTACAAAATATATCTTTCAAAATTTACTTCAAGGTTTCGAGTAAAACAACTTTGAATTAAAATCTGTGTTTATTTCTATTCAGGTGTTTGTTTTCTCGGTTTATACGATTCTCAAGCTCTGCGATATTTATTATTGACTCCTTTGTGCGTTTATTTATTCATTGGAACAACGATATTGTGTACCGGTAAGTACTGGTTAAAAATGTAGAGCAAAGTCATTTGAAAAAACTTTAACTTTGTATTTTATTTATCAAACAGGTTTCTGTTGTTTAAATCGAGTTCGAATTAAATTAAGAAATGATGAGGTGAATAAGAAGAAACTTTCCAGTTTATGCTCAGGATTGGAGTGTTCAGTGTGATGTACATCGTGCCACAGGTGGGATTTATATTTGCATGCTAATGCTAGGCAAAAACTCGATTGAATACAATTTGGGTCAATCAATAAATCGAATGAATGTCAAAATAGGAATTAATTTCAAATAGTTCTTCTTTATCATTTTTGCTATTCTAGCTTAGAATCCGGCAATTACAATATATCTGGGAATAGGAAGATCCAAATTGATATTGTTTTTCAATTACAATACTCATATACGATGAGTTACTACGAGAATGCGAAATTTCTGATTCATTCTGTTGTTTTAGGTTATTTTGTTTACGATATACATTGTCGAAGACTCATACCGAACAAGATGGGAAGCAACTTGGTTTCTAAAATCCTGTGAAGACTATCGAGTTCCATGCCCTGCATTGGATTCAAACGTTTCTGTAACAGCTGGTGAAGGTACTTGTCTATTTTGTTCTGAAATCTCAAACGAACTCATGATGCCTGCAAAACCATTTATACAGTACTATATTGTATTAAGAGACAAACACATCTAGCTTTCGACAGTAAAAGCCAGCAATACAAAATTGGTATTTACGTGATGGTTATTTTTTGAATTAACAAGAAGACCCTAATCCAAAGATGGGCAAATTACGGCTCGCGGCCCGGATCTGGCCCACCAAAGTGTTTACCCGGCCCACTTGTGCCTGCTGAAATTACGACTACAGTTTTTATGGATTTTAGTTTTACAAATAGCTGCGAGTGTTGTCGAGGCTAGTTATTTGAAAAAAACTGTTTTTCATTTATATTTTCATATTGAGGTTTGAACATCCGGCCCAGTAACCAAGTCTATCATCTGTATGTGGCCCACTTAGGAAAGTAATTGCCCACTCCTGCCTACACGTTACTTTTATGATTGATTTCTTCCTCAAAAAAGCTATTTTAAACCTAGTCAAAATCTTGAATTGGAGAGATATGAAGAATAAAACAAAGAATGCTGGTGTCATTTAGTGGCAAATATATGTCACCAAGCTTTCGGCAAATTATCTCAATAAGCAAAATTTATTAAAGCCTCGAAATAAGCTCACTGTGCGTATGATAGGTGTTCATGCTATAAGAGTACGTCAGCCTAAATTGTGTGGTCACGTATTGACGCACAAAACTATCTTCAGTTACAATGAATCGTGGATGAACGTATTTGTCGTTCAAATATGCAGTAGTAATGTCAATACACCTCTTTGTTCTGTTATTATACGCTACTAAATTTAGTTCTTAAAGAACTTTTGAGAATCTTGATAACAAAGCGGAGATGTGTCTTGCCACGTGCTTAAAAATTGTCAGACACCGAATTAAAACAAGTTGAATTTAGTCCGTTGATATTTATCGTTAACTCATTTAGCTGTAAAGTTCGTTGCTTATGTTTTACTTTGCGCTGTCGAGGCGATGCTGATCTTCAATAAAAGCGTTGTGGGAATTTTGTATCCCTAGTTTGCGGTTATCCTGTCCATTCCGGACAAAGACATGGATAAATACACTCGTGACTTGCTTCCATATTATTGTGCATTTCCTGAATGGCTAATAAAAAAATGATTGATTTATTGTAGCCAACTCATTCATAACGTCTCTTTTATCCAGGTGATCTCCAACCTCATGTTATGATATTCTGCGTCAAATATTTCATGACATTAATTGTTGCTCTCCCTCCACTCTTTTGGGTAGCCTCAAAGAAGACTTTACTGTCGTGGCAACTATTTTGCTGTCGTAAAAAGAGAAGGTATCTACCATGTTATTTATATTCGACGATGTTGGTTCAACTGCAGTCTTGATATATATACGAACTTAGTGTTATTCACAAAGTGCAGATATGTTTATATAGTTCAGTATGCACAAATTTTCATTTTCCATTGTAAATTTCCATGACAGGTGTCTAATTAAAATATCGTTTGGAGTTTCATTTAAAAACAGTTGATAAATCGTAAAATAGTTTTGTCCTGCACAAAGAATTGCATTCGCTATTTATTGATGTCTGTAATAATTTAAAAATGTATCATTCATATATCCTGTATGTATACTATGAGTACTCATCTTGGATAGAATTATTATAGCGTTTTACAAATTGGCGAGGTAAATGGTTGTCTTCAAAGTATGTTTTTTACCATAAATTTTTCGTTTTTTCCGCTATCCCCATCCATATAACTATTGTTACCAATCGCAGGAACCAACCGCCGATTGTTTCAAGTAACCACAACCAGAACAACTCTCGAGGTCAGAATTTATCAAGAAGAGCACTTCTAGGAAATGGTAAATAATAAAAAATTAATTGTTTCAAGTTGTGTATGCTAATACAATACCTTTTTTTATCTATACATTCCTATTGTTGGTGTTCAATTAAAATTTTAACGCTTATATATGTTCATTCTGTCATTCCTTAAAAAAAATATATATATATATAATATTGTATATATACACAATACATATATATATGATTTATAATAAAATAATACCTAACATTCTATTTCTTGTTGATTTCAGAAATTTCGCAGAATTCTAAGCAGCATCGTGCAAGGAATCACCGTCCAAGATCTCTTGGAGATGGCGGAATCGGTAGCGATGACGTTTTTGTCGGACTAGAAAGCGCTTCAAAATTACACGGGTCGTCTGCTTCTGTGACAGCTCGTGCTAAGATTACGGAAGAAAGAAATTCACGGCAAAACGAAATTTTGCAGCATAAAGGCATAGAAGATTCAAATGCACCTCCTCTTCCGCCGCCTCCACCGCCGCGTTATACAAGCAGGCCCTTCAGTGCGGAAGAAAACTGAATTGAAAAAACAATTTCCAGAAAAACGAAAACAACGACGATCGGCGTCATCACCATCTACGTCATCACGCGGAAAGGCGTCATCAATACACAAACCTTCATCGATGTCCTCATCAACATCTGCGCAGCATTCCATGCATAATAAGCGTGATACACATATACAACATTCTGCCTTGCCTAGCTACTCCCTTAGTAAAACACTGCCAAAAGATGAACTTGTCAATGACCTTAGAAAAAAATTAAGACCAATATCGCCAAAGACGACAGTGTGCCCACGACATCTCATTCAAATGTTGCTTCTACGGAACCAATGGAAACCCCATCCCAGGAGGGTCCACCAGAAACATCTATAGCTACATCTGCTCAAGCTAACTACGAAAGCACAGTTGAGGTCTGATTGATTTATCAATCAACTAAATAGTTGCATCAATTACACCAGAGCAAAGAGAAGGTAGACGATGAGATTCAGGCAAAAATTGCTGAATTTGCGCGTCGATACGAGAAGTTTCAATTGTGCAAAAAAGCAAATAAACTGTCGAAGAGCTTTAACGGATGATACAGATCCGGAAACAGCATTACCTGTATGCATCTAAGTAGCTTCAAACGAATGATGTTAGGGATTGGAGGCGAGAACGAGCAGGAAATAAAACTATAGTTACTAAATCTTCAAGATTGATCACTGTATGTTCCATATATAAGTATGTTAACTTGGGCGATTGGTACTATAGTATTACAGATTTTTTGTAAAAATTAACAATATCGGTAATCTTACCTGATTGAGGGAAAGAATTACGCTCGATTTTCAGACAACGTGGAAAAACTTCCGTTTTATGTATATGGTCGTCATGTATACTTTTGAAAACTACTCTTCGGATTTCATTTTATATGATAATCCTAATAACCTGCGTAGTAATCTCCACCGATTTTTCGACACCATGTGCGTTTCGGCAAATATATATATAGGTTTTGAGTAGATATGCTGAGACATTTATAACTGAATAGTGATGGCGTGTTTTTTATTTTCTATTTTCGTTTACCTGCATTTATAGTTTTCGTTTGAATTTAAATTAATTTTTTGAATAAACTTTAAATCATTGACGCGTGTTGGCTTCAAATCAACTTTAATTCATAGAAAACTCATTAAGTAAATTCATAGATTGACATTGGATATCGTCACGCTAATAACCGAATTGCGTAAGTCATTTTTGGCGATTTTGAGTTTTTTTTTTATAAAATAGGTATTTATGTAATGCTTGCGCACCTGTCTGATAACTCAAATTTTATTTCAAGAATTCCGAAACCCATAAAAAGGGAGATTTAGTATGACATGCACATTTGTGCAATTGTTTCGTCATAATGAATTATCATTGTTACCGTAGGACTATTGTGACGTCACAAAGGAAAAATAACCTCGGCAACGTATTTTCGAGTTTTTGCATCTCGGGTTCTAGCTCAGCGCGTATTAATTTGAATTTATACTACAGTATAGGACAGGGATGGCGAACCACTGACCCGCGGGTCAAAAAGTGACCCAACGCGTTTTATTTGTGACCCACCAAGCGAAGGCACGGATAAAAAAAATGCTAACATATCAGTGATAAAAATTGATAAAACCGGCCTTAAATTAATCTAGCAATAACTAAACTATTATAATGTACCGTCAGTTGGACAGTCAGGGAGGGCTGCGATCGCTCATATTCAAAATGTTGATTTTAGGGCCGGTATGGTAATTTTCAAAAACTCTAATTTGTACGCATGTATGCACCGCTGTGTACTGTTATTCAGCTATTGGGCCTGACATCATTTATGACATAACAATGCAATTGATCTGTTCATTTCTCGCAACGCCTGTCTTTTTTGGAAGTGCATCTGCAGACTGTTTTAGAGGTTATACGAGAACTAGATGCTACTTCGCATTTTATTAGTTTCTCGTCTACAATGCCGTTGTGAAAACAAAATCTTTCAGACTTGAAATAACAAGAGAGCTATGCTCAAATATATGGACACGTAGAGTCACATAATTTTGATGACGTCATAGCGAAAAAAGAAGTAATAGCCTTCTGGAGAAAATTTTTATCTTTAACCACTAAAAATTTCAAAGCAATTGGTCCAGTATTCGAAGAGAAAAGCGACTTTTTAAAAACGTGTCAAGCGGTACTGAGTTAGCAGTCAGGCAGCATCTTACCTGTACACTGTAGGCCATATACGGTAATTGATCACAGAACAGTTGTTCCCTTGCAAATTTTATGTTGTGTACACTTTAGGACAGATAATTGATCACAGAACAATTCTTCCCTTTCAAATTTTATGTTGTTTCCAGTAGACTCTCATCAAAATGAACAAATATAGTAGGCTACAAGTGCTACAACGCTTGCATTACTGCACTGGATTTTATGTTATTTACACTTTAGGACAGATAATTGATCACAGAACAATTCTTCCCTTTCAAATTTTATGTTGTTTCCAGTAGACTCTCATCAAAATGAACAAATATAGTAGGCTACAAGTGCTACAACGCTTGCATTACTGCACTGGTAGGACCGTGAAAGAATAAGTTACGGTAATTTCATTGTGGTAAGACACCGGTACCGGCACCAGTACCAGTATCGTACTTACGTACTGAGCTACCAGTACCGGTACCGAACCTGTAGGTCTGATATTCCGTTCCGCATACGATAGGCTATAAAACTTGCATTGCAGCATTAGTAATACCGCGGAAGGAATAAGTCAATTTCACTGCGTTACGGCACCGGTATGGCAACTTACCAGTACCGACCTACAGTAGCTGTAGTACTGAGCAAGACAATCGATCGCGAAACCGCTTGAAATAAGTGTAAACAGTGTCCCACGAGTAAAAATAAATACCGCGAAATTTTGTATGAAATATCATATCTCATAGGATTCATATAAAATTTAAGAATAAACAAAAGTAATAGCCTTCTAGCGAAAAAATTAATCTTCAACCACTGAAAATTTCAAAGCAATTGGTCCAGTATTCGAAGAGAAAAGCGACTTTTTAAAAACGTGTCAAAGAACAAGAACAACAACAAGACCAACAAGAACAAGAACAACAACAACATAATATTGAAACGATCGTTATGTCCACTACGTGTCCAAAAATCTAGAAATCTGATATAACAATGGGGCAGTGTAAAAGTGGCTTAATGTGGTTGGAAGCTGATCGAAAATTTTAACACTATCAAAGCGGAATTACCTCCAAACACTAGAACCGTAAAATAATTTGACGCATCATCCTAAACGTTTTTGGTAATTCATATGCGTTTTTTTCGTACTCTAATATCATATAAAAGTCCCTGATAGAAGTGCTGCATAAGTAAAGCCCAAAACTGCACCAACACCAGCTTATAATATTTGTTTCAGAAGTTTCTTATATATACAAACGTGAATTAAATATCTGTGACCCACTCCCTTCTGTTCCGCGATAAAATTATAGTTTTTGACCCATTCATTGAAAAAAGTTCGCCATCCCTGGTATAGGAAGACGTGCACTTGTGATAGAGGACTTGCACGGGTCACGTGACCTTGTTACTGGACGGCAATAAAACAAAAACGTCCATTTGGCTCCTGTCAGTAAGGATGCCAAGTATGAGTACTTACAAGTATTCGATTCTTATCCGATTCCTAAATTTTCGATTCCGATTCTCGATTCCTCGACATATTACCGAAAAAATATACCCAGCACCCAAGCAATACCATATGAAATCAAGCAAGACAGCGATGTTCAAATTCTGGACGGACAAGAAGGCCGAAACTATGTAGTATGGGTATCCAATCTGCCACAGGAGACAAAACCGCACAAAAAAAAACGAATCCCTCAGAACCCACAGAGATTTTTAAAATAAATAAACGTTAAAGCCTACTAGCGATATTTATAATATATATATATTATATAGTGAAGTTTGCGGTGTCGTAGCAACTCAACATAGCAGTGAAGCAGTTTATACATATATATATGTGAAGAAATTGCCACAAAACGTTACACATTGTTTGCAATCCAAGTTTCAATCTCGAGAATCGATTCCAGTGCATCGGAATCGATTCTAGTCGATTCCGCGAAGAATCGATTCTGTAATCGAATCCGGACTCGATTCCGCCATCTCTACCTGTCAGTTGCAAGTCGGATTATACGTTTCCGTTTTGTTTGGCTGTTGTAAATGGTTATTTCGTATTGTTCCGCTGGCTGTACGTATAGTATGGACAACGAAATGGATCTTCAGCTATATTCCACTGTTTTCAAAAGATCCGGAACGTCGCGCAATGTGGATATCATCTATTGGCAGGACTGCTTGGTGTCAAGTCCAGAAGCCATCTTACTCGTGTTTCACTGTTTGCGGACAGCACTTCGTTGATGGTGAGTCATGATGTGCCGTTATCAATTTTTTTAAATATTCATAAGCTCCCTCATTTCAATGGAAAGCAGATGACAAACTACTGTTATTGGTAGGCTTAGGCGTAGGCCTACTTGCAGACTTGACTCGTGTAAGGTATTTCAATAATTGCCATAAGGTATTGTTTCCCTAGTTAGCAGGTAGTCTATTAGTAAGTGTGAAAATTTGAATAGATAACTAAAGTTTAACGCCAGTGCTAATGCAAAAAATTACCAGAATTCAATTGAATTTTCTATCTGAGAATACGCTCGCCACCGCATCTCTGATCCCCCTGGGAGTTTCACAGGTTCCAATCCCATGCGGGGATAGTTATGTGTGAGGGGATTGCAGCTCTCCTCCCACTAAGGGTGGTTCACACGACCGCTGGTCGATTACGACATCCCCCACCATTAAGTCCATGCTTCTAAAACAAATAACTGGCTAACTAATCCCGACATAGAATGGTAATCGTACGATGTTGCACCTTGCAATCTGTCCCCAACCACAGATAAATTCTATCCTAAAAACTACCCACATTGGTAGGCATAGTTGCGTTTTAAATTGAAAGAAATCTTCATTAATGGTCAGAAGGTGTTGTCTGATTGTTTTGTTAGTTAGCAGGTAATTTATTACTGATCTGATACACAAACTTGGCACTGTCAAATGATGATTAGTGTTTAATTTATTTTCAGGAAAAAGGGAAGATAACCCATTATCAGCTGCTTACATGTCCCATCGATATTTGAATTTTCGCCATCCCCAGAGAAGAAGAGAATAGTTAGAAAAAGAGGATTTTGAAGAAAGGCAAAAGGCAGGACCATTTCAACAAATTCTG